CTTAGGATTGGTCGATTGGAAAGCTAACACAATTATATAGCACTTACATGCTATACAATGTGAGTACTGTTAAAGGGATAATAAATAGATATCGTTTATTATATAAAAAGATACTGCAAGGCTTAAATTACAATATTACTTTAGTTAGATAAATATTAACTGTAATGCTACACTTGTGTGTCTATCCACTCTCTCTCTTATCGTAACCCAAGAGGCGGGGCAAGAATGTGTCAGAGGTGTGCGTGAAGTGGGACCAATCGGCTGAGAAGTATCATGGCTTGGGCGAATTGGTCTGTGTGTGAAGCTCACAAAACTAAGCGGCAAAGTGCCTCATAATAATATAGTTAAAAGAGAGACTAATAAGAAGAAGGTCGTGTTGCGAGTATTTTCGGGTTGTTTTGAACTTGAACTCTGGATTCGGTTGTGTTTTCTTTAACTGTTTTTGTCAGCTGTTTCTGGTTTGAATTCTGCATTAAATGTTTCTAGTTTAGTATAGTGCAGGTTTGGTAAACGGTATTATGGGCTACGTTAACCGGCAAATTGACCACTTTATGGATGTTTTATGGGTAGATGTTCATCCTCGCAGAATTGCTTGGCGGCAGACTGGTTTTAAGGTGGTGAAGGTTGAGTGCTCAGGTCAGATCCACGAGGTTAATGCTGATTATCTCAATATCAGTGATGGGAGAAAGTAAGGTGATAAAGACAATAGATTGTCCGGAGACAATAAATTGATAGGGAAGACAATAAATTGTCGGGAGATAAATTGTCGGAGACAATAAGGTGAATGTCGAGGTAATGTAATTGTCCGGAAGACTCGTGTCGAGGAGATATCGTGATAGATCATCGTGGTGTCGGGAATAAAGTGATGGTCGGTAATAAATTGTCGAGGCTCGTTGAATGTGTCGAAAGATAAATGTCGATAAAGTAATGTGATGAGGCCTAATAAGTGAATGATTGGAAGAACAATGTGTCGGAACAATAAATTGATGTCCGGCGTCGTGGAATGGTCGGCTCGTGTCGAATAAATATGTCGGGCTCGGTAAGATATGTCGAAAATAAATTAATGTCGGAAGATCGTGATGTCGGAAATCGTGGAATGTCGAATATCGTGTCGTCCGGGCTCGTGTCGAAGATAAATTAGATAATTGAGCGTGTCGGAAGTAATCCGGGCGTCGGTAAAATGTCGGAAGTAATGTCGGTTTTCGTCGTCCGGACAAATCGAATAAATAATCGATGATTGTCGGCTCGTCGTAATCGGAAATCGTGGTTAATGATTGTCGGAATAAATGATTGTCGGGCTCGTGTCGGAAATTAATGTCGGGCGTGATGTCGGGCGTGTCGTCGGAAATGTCGAAATCGTGTCGAAGTGGAATCATCCGGAAAGTAATGTCGGAAAGATCGTGATCAGATGGAAATCGGAATCGTGGAATCGGAAGATAAATCGGAACTCGTGGAATCGATATCGTGAATCGGAAGATGGAAATGTCGTTAAGGCTCGTGTCGGAAGATCGGTGGAATCATGATTCGTGTCGAAGATAAGTGAAGATATGATTCGTCGTGATGATAATGGGGCTCGATGGAATCGGAACTCGTGATGTCGGAACATAAATGATGTCCGGTTTCAAATTAAAATCTGGATGGAAGTGATGTCGATAAAGTGATCGTCGATATCGATGAATCGAAGTAATGTCGGACAATAAATTAATCCGGACAAAGTGATCGGAAGTCGGAAATCGTGTCGGAAGATGTCGTCGGTGGTGTCGGAAGTGGTCGAAGATAAATTGGTTAATGGAAGATAAAGTGATTGTCGGAAGGTCATCGATGATTGTCGAATAAATGTCGTCGATGATGTCGATCGTGTCGTCGGATAAATTAATCGGAAGTGTCGTCGGTTAATAAAATTAATCAATCGAATAAATTAATGTCGGAAGTGATGTCGAGGAAACGATGATGATATGATCGGTCGGAAGTGATGTCGGACAATAAATTAATCGTCGGAAGATCGATGAATCATGATTAAAATTGATGTCCGGAACAATGATAATGTCGAGATCGTCGTCGGAAGATATGGCGGAATGTCGGAAGATAAATTAATCGTCGAGATCGTGTCGAATAAAATAAATTGTCGAACAATAAATTGTCGGAATATCGATGAATCTGTCGTGATGTCGGAACAATAAAGTGGATGTAGATCGGAACTCGTCGATTAAAGATGTCCGGTCGGTGAATCGTCGGAAGATAAATTGAATATGGTCGGAAGACTCGTGTCGAATCGTGTCGAACAATGTGATGGAACAATAAATTGGTCGATAATAAGTGTCGGAAGATAAATTGAATCGGCAATGTGATGATAAAGATAAGTGATATGTCGGAAATCGATGGAATCTGTCGGAAGGACTCAATAAATTAATGGTCGAATCGATTAAAGTCGAAGGCTCGATCGTATGAATCGTCGAAGATCGGAATCGTCCGGAAAACAATGATCGGAAAGATCGGAATTAATGTCGGAAGATCGTGAAGTGATCGAACAGATACAATGTCGGAAACGAATATGGTCGGAAAGAAAAATATTGTCGTCGGTAAAATCTTAATCGTCATCGTAATGTCGGAGAGATAATAAATTGATGTAATCGGAGATACAATGAATTAATCCGGAAATCGGCAATAAATGATGTAATGGGAGAGTCGAATCGGTAGAATCGATTAGAGAGATCGATTAAAGATGATGAAGATAAAGAGAACAATGAGTTAATGGCTCGTGTCGTCGGAATAAATTAATCTCCGGTGATGTGATGTCGGAGATTAATCGTTATTGATGTGATGTCGAAATTAATCGTCCGAGAGTGATGTGATGGGAGAGCCGTAATGTGATGTGATGAGGAGAACCAATGTGTGTGATGTGATCGAGAAGTGGGAGAGACAATGGGTGAGATGTGATTGGAGAGACAATGAAGTGATGTGATGGGAAGACAAATGGGTGAGAGATGTGATGGGAGACACAATGAGAGTGATATGATGGAGACACAATGAGTGATGTGATGGAGAGAGACAATGAGTGATGTGATGGGAGAGTGTCATGTGATGGAGAGAACAATGTGTCATGGATAGAATGGGAGAGACAATGGTGATTTGATGGGAGAGACAACAAGTGATGTGATGGGAGAGACAATGAGTGATAGATGGGAGAGACAATGGGTGATGTGATAGGGAGACAATGGGTGATGTGATGCAGGGAGAGACAATGAGTTAGTATGATGGAGAAGACAATGAGTGATGTGATTGGAGAGTGGGAGACAATGAGTGATGTGATGGGAGAACAATGATTGATGTGATGGGAGACAATGAGGTGAGATGTGATGGGAGAGACAATGAGTGATGTGATGGGAGAGACAATGAGTGAAATGTGATGGGAGAGACAATGAGTGATGTGATGGGAGAGACAATGGGAGTGATGTGATGGGAGAGACAATGAGTGATGGGAGAGACAACAAATTGGTGTGGTGGGAGGAGCAATAAGAGGTGAGATGGGAATGATGGGAGAGACAATAGACAAGATGTGATGGGAGAGACAATGGGTGATGGGAAGACAATGAGTGATGGGATGGGGAGACAATGAGTGATGGATGGGAGAGCCAATGAGTGATGGAGACAATGAGTGATGGGGAGAGACAATGAGTGATGGGAGAGAACAATGGATGATAATGGGAGGACAATGAGTGATGGGAGAGACAATGAGTGATAATGGGAGAACAATGAGTGATGGTGGAAGTCAATGAGTGATGGGAGAAGACAATAGTGATGGATGGGAGAACAATAGTGATGGGAGAGACAATGAAGTGATATGATGGGAGAGACAATGATTGATGTGATGGGAGAGACAATGGTCGAGATGTGATGGGAGAGACAATGAGTGATGGGAGAGACAATGAGTGGATGGGAGAGACAATGAGTGGTGTGGTGGGAGAGACAATAGGTGAGATGTGATGGGAGAGACAATAGGTGAGATGTGATGGGAGAGACAATGGGTGATGGGAGAGTCAATGAGTGATGGGAAAGACAATGAGTGATAATGGGAGAGACAATGAGTGATGGGAGAGCCAATGAGTGATGGGAGAGCCAATGAGTGATGGGAGAGACAATGAGTGATAATGGGAGAGACAATGGGTGATGGGAGAGTCAATGAGTGATGGGAGAGCCAATGAGTGATGGGAGAGACAATGAGTGATAATGGGAGAGACAATGGGTGAGATGTGATGGGAGAGACAATGTGTGATTGGAGAGACAGTGATGGGAGAGGGAGTGATGGGAGAGGGAATGAATGGCAGATGGGAGAGAGAATGATGAAAGAGAATGAGTGATGGAAGATGGGAGAGAGAATGGGAGATACGAGAGAGAATGAGTGATGGGGAGAGAATGGGAGATGGGAGAGAGAATGATGAAAGATAGAATGAGTGATGGGAGATATGAGAGAGAATGAGAGAGGTTTGATGCGCGGCTGTGTCATACCAATAGACATTAAAACATGGTACTTGTTGGTCCCTGTCTGGCACTCGGCATTAATGGGTACAACGACAACTGATTGGCTGAGAGTCAGTATAATGCGTCCGAGTGGGTATTCACACTTAACTGTGGCATGGTATCTCAGTGAGCTGACACTATAAAACCAGCCTAAGTCTGGGCTAGTACAAGTAGCCACAGATACATATGTCATCATTTGAACGAAATATTCTAAAGTGAGACGTTCAACCCCCATTTCACCTCACCTTCACCCTGACAAATGTTCAACACACCTAGTTAGCAGAAATTCGAGAAAATACAACTCTGTTATTTTGATACATACTGGTCAACCTAATGATATATACTGAATTTCATATCCCTGCCATTAAGCTGAAACTTTTGAAAAATTATCAAAGTTTTTAGGGTAGTGAAAGGCACTGAAGATTTTTAACCAATCATGTTGCTGCAGACATTTTATAAATATTTGCTCTTTCTGTTGTAGAATTTATGAAGCAAATTGATGACCGAGCATGCCTCAACTCCACACAGCCCCAACTGGAGGGTCTCACCAGGTGTTTGACCGCCCTTGTGGCTCTGTCCGACGACATGTCAGATGACCTCTCCTGCAGGTAGGCACTGAAAGAACAAATGAATGAAGAGTAGTACCATCAACAAATAAAAACAACTCTTTGATAGTTCACAGCATCCTTTTGAAGAGATGATGACAACTGGGTAGGGGGTTTGGTGACATTGGCTCTATTGATGTTAATAATCACTGGTTTGTCTGGCCTAGTCTTAATTATTACCAGGCAACCAATATATAGCATGAATATTGATGACTGAGACGTAAACACTTCGCTGTCTCATTCAAGGACATACTACCAGTCTGCACGCTGTATGGAGAATCTTCATGCTGATCCAAATTGTGACATTGAAGCCTTTGATAACGTTATTCCGGACTATGTCACAACTGCTTTGATGCGAACTCCAGATCTTCTAGCATCACTAAGCGTAACATCATTACCACCTGCACCGAAATGCTCAGGTGAGTTCCAGTTGATTATCCGTTGGCTCACCATACCTTGGATAATCACTACAATACTGTACTCAAGCCAACAGCCAACTTATTTTAATGAATACACAGGCCAGTTGTCCACCAATTACTCCTACTGGTTCCTTAACACCATTTTTGACCACTAGAGCTGATGGGGTAGCCTAGTGGTTAAAGTGTTAGCGCGTCATGCCGAAGACCCAGGTTTGACTCTCCACAATATGAGAAGCCCATTTCTGGTGTTCCCTGCTGACATATTGCTAAAAGCAGCATAAAACACTAAAACTCACTTGACCAACCTGATGTTGGTCAGACATGGAGGCATGCTTGTCGTAAGAGATGACTAACGGGATCGGGTGGTAAGACTTGCTGACTTGGTTGACACATGTCATTGGTTCCCAATTGCGTATATTGATGCTCATGCTGTTGATCACTGGATTATCTGGTCGAGACTCGATTATTTTCAGACTGCTGCCATATAGCTGGAATATTGCTGAGTGCAACGTAAAACTACACTCAACTACAGATGTGGAGGATATGGTGGAGTCATCAAGTTGCAAGAAATTCTGCCTAAATCGGTCATGTAAATTTATGAGGAATGTTGTCCCTGAAAAATTAGATTTGGTGATAAAAGATGTTTTTCATCAAAAGTTTCACAGTCAAGCTGATAGCGATTGACATATCTACTAATAATTTACTTGCACCATCTCATCCTGTATTCTGAGTGATGATGTGTTGGATCAGATTACATCAAGAAGGCTGTTGACATCAAGGCTCCATGCCTGGACAAGGAGTTTTTTGGGAAGTATGTTATTGGAAGAGTCTGCAGGAAGTATGTGGGCCACGTTCTGATTGAGGAGGTTCCCAAGTTCACTCGATGCCAGTAAGTCAATTTATTATCTATCATTTCATGCACATTTCTTCTGTGTGGACCTATTGATTACTCTAGAAGTGAAGTGATGATTGGGTGGTCACTTAGCTGTAGTCCTGTGTTTATTGTAGCCATTGATTGATCTACGAGCCAAGTGGTGATTGGGTATTGGCTGTTCTACAAGCCAAGTGGTGTTTGGGTATTGGCTGCTCTACGAGCCAAGTGGTGATTGGGTATTGGCTGCTCTACAAGCCAAGTGGTGTTTGGGTATTGGCTGCTCTACAAGCCAAGTGGTGTTTGGGTATTGGCTGTTCTACAAGCCAAGTGGTGTGGCTGTTCTCAGGTATTGTCTGCTCTACAAGCCAAGTGGTGATTGGGTATTGGCTACTCTACAAGCCAAGTGGTGTTTGGGTATTGGCTGCTCTACGAGCCAAGTGGTGATTGGGTATTGGCTGCTCTACAAGCCAAGTGGTATTTGGGTATTGGCTGCTCTACAAGCCAAGTGGTGTTTGGGTATTGGCTGTTCTACAAGCCAAGTGGTGTTCGGGTATTGTCTGCTCTACAAGCCAAGTGGTGATTGGGTATTGGCTGCTCTACAAGCCAAGTGGTGTTCGGGTATTGTCTACTCTACAAGCCAAGTGGTGATTGGGCATTGGCTGCTCTACAAGCCAAGTGGTGTTTGGGTATTGGCTACTCTACAGACCAAGTAGTGTTTGGGTATTGGCTACTCTACAGACCAAGTAGTGTTTGGGTATTGCCTGCTCTACAAGCCAAGTGGTGTTATGGTATTGGCTACTCTACAGACCAAGTAGTGTTTGGGTATTGGCTGCTCTACAAGCCAAGTAGTGTTTGGGTATTGGCTGTTCTACAAGCCAAGTAGTGTTTGGGTATTGGCTACTCTACAGACCAAGTAGTGTTTGGGTATTGGCTGCTCTACAAGCCAAGTGGTGTTATGGTATTGGCAACTATACAAGCCAACATGGGATTGGATGGTGGCTATGAATACGATGGTGGCTATGTTACGTTAACCCTTGATAATAGAGACTATGGCTGAAAATTCTGCTGAGCACCATTTCTCTGCTGAAGATGATCTCACCATTCTCAACAGCACCAATCCAATTGCATATTTTCAATTAAAACCATGTCAAAACTTCCCTTCATTTCAGATATATAGTTGAGTGTGGTCAGACCGCCATGTATGAAGTCTTCCATGCCAACTGCACTGTCGAGCAGGTCCAAGATGCCATTAATTCAACTTCATCTGAGCTTCAGACACTCTTGCCACTAGCTGCAGACAGTTGTGAAGGTATGGTTGGCCTCGCTTCTCATACTGTGTAATTGCCAGGATTTATGTCTGGTTTTTGAGTTAATTACATGGCCACTAAATCTTCAGTGTCAGGACATATCTCTTGGAACCGACAAAGGAAATATTTATAACATTGTAAAACGCTATAGCAGTCGGGTGCCCTAATGGTTACAGTGTTTTCTCGTCATGCTGAAGACCCAGGTTCGAATCTCATCAATGGGCACAATGTATGAAACATATTTCTGGTGACCCTGCCATGATATTGCTGGAATATAAAACTAAACTCACATACTCACTTACTCACCATTGAATGGTATAACTGCCATACTGGAAACATGATATATAAGAATCTATACCAAAATGTTTCATCATAACGGAATTCAGAAGTTATTATCCATAAAAGTATCTTGCAATTGTCTTTATTGAGAATCAAGCAGATTGCGGCACAGAAACTTTAAGAATCTATATAATTCTTGTCATATCTTTTGTATGCACACCAAATGTGGTTTTCTACCCAAAAGGTATATTTGGTGTCATGATTTCAATTTCGTTTTCAATCAGTTTCAGAAGAGGACTCATGTTCCCAGATACTGTCCAAGCCAGAGGGTCTTGCAGCCTCAACTAAGTGTTTCACCTACATGTATTTACAGAACACCAGCCTGCTGACTCTGGAGGAAAACTGCAAGTGAGTGGACCCCTGTGCTCACCTCCAAAGTGATTTCTGTTCTGGCACTCAATTCATTGAGGATAAGATGCCATTGTTTGATGGCTTTAGTTTTACCTGTGCTCACCTCCAAAGTGATTTCTGTTCTGGCACTCAATTCATTGAGGACCGCCTCCGTGGTGTAGTGGTTAGAGCGTCCGCCCGGAGAGCGGAAGATCGTGGGTTCGATCCCCGACCGCGTCATACCAAAAGACGTTAAAATATGGTACTTGTTGGTCCCTGCCTGGCGCTGGGCATTAATGGGTACAACAAGGACTGGTCGGCTCGGAGTCGGTATAATGTGTCTGAGTGGGGTATTCATGCTTCACTGCGGCATGGTATCTCAGTGAGCTAGCACTACAAAACCAGCTTAAGTATGGGTTAGTACAAGAAGCCGCACATTCACACGCATGCACGTCGTCATATGAGTGAAATATTCTCAAGCACAACGTTAAACCCAATTTCACCTCACCTCACCTCACCTCACTTCATTGAGGATAAGATGCCATCGTTTAATGGCTTCAGTTTTTCCTGTGTTCACCTCAAAGGTGATTTATGGGGGGGGTCATCTTTCCTTGAAAATAATTGAAATGAGAATGTTTGCTGAAACAAATATGTTTCGTGTCAAGAGTGGCAGCATTAGACTTGTGTAGTTGAAGAGTTTGTACATATCTCTTTTGGGTGGTGCCCAGACAAGAAGTGCACCCAAGTCACAATGAAGGTTATTCAATGTTGTTACAGTACCTGTATCTGACAAATTATGATTGGTTGCAGTGACCTGCTTCCATTGTACACTTGTTATTGACACTTTGAATTCCCCAAAGGGCGTAACATTTGGTTGTATACTGAATGGTCCCTTAAAGTCATGGACAAAATACTTGTAACTGATCTGGGCCTGGTTATGGATAAAGATCACAGAGATCGATAATCGTTAACTAAATAACAGTTGATCAATAATTGTTAACTAAATAAACATGTTGATTATCGATAAAAATCAGAGGTGTAACTTTGAGCAAAAATGCTAAAAATGTCTAAAAGGTCAATGAATATATGGTATATCACTGGTTAGAGGTGACATGTTTTGGAATGGATTATTAAAACAGCATCCTGAACATAATTTCGAAGCAGACCATGTATAAAGTCCTAACTTTGTATGTTGAGAAAATTAAAACTGTTATTTTAAGTTATTGTATGATATTATTGATAACACAATTTTCATATCGATAATCATTAATATTGTTTCTAATTAGCAATCATTTTAACCAGTCCTAAACTGATCAGATCCATGAAGATCCGGGTTAGAATTGGTCTTCTGTAACCCATGCTTGTCGTAAGAGGCAACTGATGGGATTGGGTGCTCAGGCTTGCTGACTTGATTGACGCATTTTTTTGTATCCCATTTGTGTAGATTGATGCTAATGCTGTTGATCACTGGATTGTCTGGTCCAGACTTCTTTACAGACCATCGCCATACAGATGGAATATTGCTGAGTGCGGCGTAATACTGAAAACAAACAAAAAAGCCTAAATTGATCAGGTGTGAATTGATTTGCCTTTTTCTCTTCACAGCTTCGTCCTGAGTGGTTTTGCTTGTCTGCGAGGAGAGTTGTGGAAATACAATGTTTCCTGTCCAATACGAGGACTAGCCCAGCATTACTTCAGCTATGTCCGCTACCTTGCTTCCCAGAACACAACCATATTCCCGTTTGATATTACACAGTGTGCAGGTAATTGTTGAGAACACAACTCTTGTCGTGCTAGATTCCTATTTGAATATGCGAAAATGTTACCTGCTGTAAAGCTAATTATTAAAAGGTTACTTTTGAACTCGTGATAAATGTCTTGTGTCAAGATGGTCTTGTGTTACTGCTTAATATTCACTATGAGAGTGGTCTGTCTTCTATGTTTTGTGTTGGATGTTTGCAGCTATAGTGGAAAAAGAAGGTGATGAGAAAATTGAAGATCTCTGCTCCAATGAAGACCTCATCCCACTCTTTGTCTCCACCAGTTACTGTGCACTTCATTCCTCTTCAAATGATTGCAGGTAATTTGTATGTCTTAACCTTTTCTAAGTCCTACAGTCAGATTATTGGTTTTTTTTAATTTTTTATATTTTTATTGTTTTTTATTATTATAAAGACAGAATAAAAGAAGTTGTCATCCATACATACTTGTTCTATCTGACTTCCAACTTCTAAAAGGCCACTCAAAGAAGTCACCCCTTATTGTGCTTTGGTACTATAATAATGGTAGAAAACCCAATATTCTCAAGTAAAATGTATTTGTTCAAAACAAATGTTCAGAGTATTCCTGATTGTGATGTATTCTGGAATGTGTTTTAAGTTTGAGAAAATGTTCAAATTGTTTCATGAACTGGCTCACCATGAATTTCCACCTTTCAATCCAGTGTGCTTAATGGGTTAGTCAGTTGTGTAAAGAGCAGCCTAAACTGTAGTGATGTAAGACCCATCTCCAACGCCCTCATCACAAGGAGTGATGTCCTTGTGAGTCGTCTGGGAAGGAACTACAGTGGATGTCCTGCAGATGGAGGAGGTGAGAAGGCATTAAACTAAAAACTACACCATATTTTAGAACAACTGGAACCCGCAAAGGTCAGGGTTAGAATGTGCTTTCAGTAACCAATGCTTGTCATAAGAGGCGACTAACGGGATCAGGTGGCCAGACTCGCTGACTTGGTTCACATATGTCATCAGTTCCCAATTGCGCAGATCGATGCTTATGCTGTTGATCACTGGATTGTCTGGTCCAGACTCGATTATTTACAGACCGCCGCCATATGGCTGGAATAATGCTGAGTGCGGCGTAAACCTAAACTCACTCACTCACTAAATAGAACTGGATGGAGGTCACACATTCATGCATGTTTCCATTTGAAATATTAACTGCATCAAATTTCAGAATAAATACGACAAATGTCAAATGTAATAATGATCACTGGATGAAAATCTTAAGTATTTTTGTCAAATGGAAATGTACGTTGTAACCTGGAATGGTTTCAAATGTTTATTCCCCCAAATGTTGGATAACTCTGATCTCACACAGGGCTGTGTTCCATCTGTTTCAGCTGAGGGCTCGTGTTCCACAATGCTCGCCAAGCCAGAGGGTACAGCAGCTGGGGCGAAGTGTTTTACCTACATGTTTGTACAGAACACAAGCCTGCTGACTCTGGAGGAAAACTGCAAGTGAGTGGACCCCTGTTCTGGCACTCACTTTGTTGAGGACAGGGTGCCGTTGTTTGATGGCTTCAGTTTTACCTGTGTTCACCTCAAAAGTGATCGAACCATTTACACAGAGATGCCAACAACTCCGACTTTCAAATACAAAATCCATTCTCCGATTTGTCTATTAAAAAAATACAAATATGTTGATAAATTCAGAATATTTGAAAGAATTTTAGTAAATAGCCATTTTAATATGTTCATTTGTGTTAAGTATTTTCTGGATAAGTATGTCCAGAATTTGCATATTTCCAGGCTTAATGTAAAGATTTTTATAGGGGAGGACCCCCACCGTCAAAAGGGGCCCGAGCCCCTTCTCACGCTCACCCCCAACTTGCACCTTCACCCCCAACTTGCACCTTCAGGACTCAGGAATTGCTTTTAGCAAGGGATTGACTCCGCTTTCATTTGATTCAGGGTTGGCATCTCTGTTTATATGTAATGTTCTGGTTGTCTTTCCCTGAAAATGTTATTTTTCCTTATCCTGACTCATGCTCTTTTTGCTTGTCTTCTTCTTCTTGCGAACATAGTGGAACACTTGTATCTCCTAATTGAAGCTCCTTCAATTTAAAATCACTAATTAGTATTCACCACGAGTTACCTCCTTTTCACAAGCGGCGGGAGCGAGAGCCACCCTCTACCCATGTGCCTCACTCTCTCCTTCTTAAGCCCAGTGAGCTGGGCGTGAGAGCGCCTGTGTCTCCGACACACTATATCCTTTGAAATATATTTAGTTAGTTACCTCGTATAGACATCTATAGAGGTTTAGCTAGTATCCTTCAGCGATTATATATTGATATTTAGTCGTTTTTCTACAGTTTATTCACGGGGCCGTGTTTGTTTCAGTGGATTACGTTGATGAAAATTCTGTACTATTGCAGATTCGTTTTTATGCTGCTGCTGATCCGCCTTTAATATGATGTGCGTAGCCATGTTTATTATATTCACATTGCAGTTCGCGGTACTAATTTATCAATTCTACCTTTTATTAATATTTACTTTGCGTTTGGCACGCACAGCAGATAGGTCGCGTATGCAGAGTCTAGTATGACTGATACACGGAACCCCTCGCCAGTCTACTGCTGTTGGCCGACTCCCCTCCCGTGTGGTGTTCCGCTAGAGTGGTGGAGAGGTGTGGGGCGTAGTCCGCCATCTCAAGAAGCATCCTGCTTCCCCAGACATCCCATCGTCGCAGCAGAAGACTAGAGGGTTTTCTACCAGTACATCAAAGATTGACCCGATGTCGGCTCAGATCAGCATGCAGCCTGATGTACCAGCGCAGATATCGCGATGATCGTCCTGAGGGTCCCATCATTACCAACACTCAACGCAGACGTCGCACACCCAGGGCAGCGTCGACCTCTGAGGGAAAATCAACGAAGTCTACTAGGACTTTCTCAACCGAGATTGTTCCAGCCGATGACCTGGACTCTCACGATGATCAGCTGATCATCATCCCGGCGTCGCATACAAGAAGCGACCGGTGACAGCTACAGCGACATCAGCAGAGATCACCATGCAGCCTGATGCCTCTACACTGATGTCGGACGATTTTCGGTGGACCCCTCCATTAACACCGCAGATAAAGCACCGGCGACCTGCGAAATTAGCAGACCATCCCAGAAGACATGATGCGACAAATTATGAACATCATGGAGGACCACTATATCTCGCGGTAGCAGGAGGTCGAACCAGCGAAGGCTCCAGCGTGAACAGCACCCAGAGGCACCCCGTCAGCGTAGCAGCCAGGGCGATGTCACCTTAGCGAAGGAAGTCGCGGACCACCTTGGCGAAGGACCTAGATGTACAGCCAGCGAAGGCCCGAAGGCGGCGGAAAGGACCTAGATGTACAGCCTTGGCGAAGGCGGAAAGAACCTAGATGTACAGCCCCGGCGAAGGACTTAGCGAAGGCAGGATAGATCATCACCTTATGCGGTTTCATCCCTAGATGTGGACTCGGACCATCAGACATCACGGAAGCCTTGGCGAAGGTCATATCGTCGTTCCCCGGACGGGGACGCAGAGGAAGCCAGCGAAGGCATCGCGAAGGACACCTGAATCAGATCATCATCATCTAGAAGGACATCGAGGGACTATACAAGAGCTTAGCGCGAAACTATCAGCGTTCCCCTCACAAGTCTCGAGAAGATCAACCCATAGACAAGTTGATCATCGATATCAAGTATAAGAACTACAATCGTATATTGGTTCTGTTGAATCCATGGCCGAGGCGTATGTTAAGCTGGCCTAAATAGATCTAGAGCGATCAATTAGACACTTATCACCAGACTTAAGTAACCACGACTTCTGAATATGATAAGATGATCCATGCGGCCCTACTTAGGCAAGCCGCCGATCCACATCCTGTTAAACACAGAGGCTGTTCCGCGAAGCAAGCTCATATATATATTTATATATATATATATATACTAATCGGGCTTTGACTTCGACACCTTAGCGATGGTCGCGAAGGCTAAGTAACTCAAGTCTACTTCACCCAGAAGATCTAGAAGGGATGCCGAGAACTTAGCGAAGTCTCGGCGTTCACGAGGAAGTCTCCTCCAAGGTTTCCATATACTAGCCACTTTCGTCATATATAGCTACTTTCGTCAGTCCGTTCAAGGCGTCGCATAAGTTGATTATCAACTGTATGCCAGATGCCGATCTATAAGCCTCTGGCGAAGATAATTGCTCAGGCTATTTACAACACAGAGCGTGGCTGTATTAATAGTCAGCGACATTTCATAGATCTTCACAGAAATCAACTATTCATTATAAATTGCTAATATACAATCCCGGACGGCGATACGATTATCTACATGCGTGACCATTGCGCATATCTGCGAACAATTCAATATCGAAATTGAACAGCAGCCTTGTTACAGCGAGTATAACTCTTAATCGTCAAAGTTTCTGAGAAGAAATATGTACAACAAGTTCAGCGTTAATTCTACAATTATGGCCGATACATTCATGTATACAGTCTACAAGCTCACAACTTGCAAGTTGTTTATACCCATATATATAAGGAAGTCGAATTATATTCAAAACTGAAATTACTTTCCACGACAACCAGGAAAATAACCTACCCAGCATAAAATTACAGAAGCGAGATATTTGGCGGAGGTTTTCAGCGATTACCATTAACCCTCGAAACCGTGGTCACTTTCGGATAACCGGGGAAGCTACGGTGAAGACCGGCGTTTATGCTAATATCAGCGGCGACAAGAATTTATTCAAGGTGGGTTTTCCGCTACACGGTGACATCTGGCGGGTATTATACAGAATCAAAATGCCTTGTTCTGATTGGACCCGCGAGGGACAACGACCTACACAGAGGTCGATCTCAATTCACAGTTCAAGACTTACGTCACAAGTGACAACTATATATCAGTGAGCGAGCAAGCCTCATTACAGTCCAGTTAACCTGAACATTCATGATTAGACTGCCTTTCTTCAAGTTAGAGACCTCCCTGTCAAGTTAAGGCGAGGGATCGGCAGTCAGGCGATTTTACATAAAGTTCAGCGAGGACAGACACACCTGGTTGTGCACCTACATCGTCAAGGACTTATGGCGAATTACCTAAGCGAAGATACAAGTGGATCTAAATCCACAGCGTTTCAGACTACAGCTGAATTTCATCAAGCGACTAACACAACTAGATGGTTAGTAAACCTACTAAACTTCTGTTTGGAGAATAAAGCGGAAATTTTCGCCCAACCTGGGGATATGAATATAGTGCTCCAACACCTCACAAGTGAGGTTTATGAACACGCCTGGATGACATACTTGGACCCCATGATACGATGATTCTATCAAGTTGGCCAGCAAGAGCACTGTAAATTTATCTCCACCAAACCAAACAGGAGGAAAAATGCAACAGATTATTTCCTCTATCATCAACTACGCAGAGTGAAGTCTCATGTACTATATCTCCATTTGGATCAGAACTGTCATACTACGTGCATATGCGGATGGACCTATTCCGACCCTCCATGAGCTTAATACTCATGATATTATAGCGCTAACTTCTACAATTGTTCTACACAAATGTGATTGAAATAATGGAGGGTTATTTCTGGAAATCCGATATGGTGGTTGCAAACCATTATCTGAGAGATATCACCACCGAGGACGTCTCAGGTATACACCAATTCGATCCCATGGTCCTCGCACAACAGCTGACAGTTCCTCGGAGAAGATAAGTCAATCTAACAGATTTTTACTTATCTTATAACAATACTAAATAGCTTCATGCTATGTATAATTTACTTAAGTTCCTTTTATCATCACAGTACTATGATTATTACATCATACAATATATAAGTTAACAACTCTACAGAGTTTGTTATTATATATATTTACCTTAAGTTATTCATATCTTAAGAGTAATACTATGGTTACATGATAAATGCATTAGCTAACAAACTCTACAGAGTTTTTGGCTATTTTATACATAGCTTAAGTTAATTAAGCTAACAAACTCTGACGGAGTTTTACTATTATATAGGTAACTTAAGCTAATTATACCTTAAGCATAGTACTATACTCATATTATTAAAATATATTGGCTAACAAACTCTAAGGAGTTTTGCTATTATATAGGTAGCTTAAGCTTATTCATATCTTAAGCTTAGTACTATGTTTATATCATATAAGTAGATTAGCTAACAAACTCTAAAGAGTTTTTTTTTTGCTATAAGTATCATCATATTTCTAAGCAATATGGTTATATTATAACATGTATTAGCTAACAAACTCTACAGAGTTTTAGCTATTATATATGTAACTTAAGCTTATTCATATCTTAAAGCAGTACTATGTTTATATCATATAGGTATATTAGCTATCAAAACTCTAAAAGAGGGTTTTGCTATTATATATTTAAGCTTAAGTTTCATCATATTTTAAGCTTTATGGTTACATTATAACATGTATTAGCTAACAAACTCACGGAGTTCTTGCTATTATATATGTAGCTTAAGTTTTCCTTCATAAGCTCAATACTAGGTTTATATCATAGCTAACAAACTCTAAAGGGTTGTTTTAAGCTATTATACAATTAGCTTAAGTTTCATCATATCTTAAGCAGTATGTTTACATTATAAAGGTATTAGCTAACAAAGGCTTCGCGGAGTTTTGTTATTATATATATATAGCTTAAGTTTCATCATAACTTAAGCTCAGTACTATGTTTTTAACATAAAAGTATATTAGTTAATAAACTCTAAGGAGTTTATTTTGCTATATACTTTTAGCTTAAATCTAATCTTATCTTAAGCTTAGTACTATGGTTACACTATAAACATATTAGCTAATAAACTCTACAGAGTTTTTGGCTATTATATATGTAGCTTAAGTTAATAATATCTTAAGCACAATACTATACTCATATTGTAAAATATATTAGCTAACAAACTCTCACGGGTTTTGCTATTATATATGTAGCTTAAGTTCATTATATCTTAAGCACACTACTATACTCATATTGTAAAATATATTAGCTAACAAACTCTCACGGGTTTTGCTATTATATATGTAGCTTAAGTTAATTATATCTTAAGCACACTACTATACTCATATTGTAAAAATATATTAGCTAACAAAACCCTACAGAGTTTTGCTATATATATGTAGCTTAAGTTAATTATATCTTAAGCTCAGTACTATACTAATATTATAAATATATATTAGCTAACAAACTCTACAGAGTTTGGCTATTATATATGTAGCTTAAGTTAATTATAGCTTAAGCACAGTACTATACTCATATTATAAAAATATATTAGCTAACAAACTCTACAGAGTTTGGCTATTATATATGTAGCTTAAGTTAATTATAGCTTAAGCACAGTACTATACTCATATTATAAAAATATATTAGCTAACAAACTCTACAGGTTTTGCTATTATATATGTAGCTAAAGCTTATTCATATCTTAAGCTCAGCATTATATCTATATCATATAAGTATATTAACTAACAAACTCTAAAGAGTTTGCTATTATATAATTAGCTTAAGTTTAATCATATCTTAAGCTTAGTACTATGTTATATCTTAAAGTATTTTAGCTAACAAACTCTAAGGAGTTTATACTAGCATATTAACAAGCTTAAGTCTATTAGTCTTAAGCATTGTATTAATGTTATATATACTTTATCATAATAAGTACATGATAATAACCTTTTATATGGCAGCTGATAAGTTAGCAGCAGGAATTCATCAGTTCAGTGCCTTTATGAAGTTCCCATGGGGTTATTACAATCATCACAGTTCAAATCACTAATTATTAAAATCCAAAGTATTAGATATTCCCACCTCCGTTCCGTAGGATGCTACAAACAAAAGAGCATGAGTCAGGATAAGGAAAAATATGTAATTTTTGGAGTAAAATTGATATTTTATACTTATCCTGACTCATGAGGTCAGCCCTCCCATCCTCCCAAATAACACTTTGGATTTCCCTGTAAATTCAAATGTTGGGCTCAGTATATGAGGAGAGAGTGAGGCACATGGGTAGAGGTGAAGCCCTCGTTCAGCTTGTGAAAGGAGGTAACTTCGTGGTGAATACTAATTAGTGATTTTAAATTGAAGGGAGCTTCAATTAGGGAGATACAAGTGTTCCACTATGTTAGCAAGAAGAAGAAGACAAGCAAAAGAGCATGAGTCAGGATAAGTATAAAATATCAATTTTACTCCAAAATTACATTCAAGCATGACATAGTCATAACAGGTTGATATATCATAAAGATCATTTTACCATTGCGGGGGATATTGATGACTTGTCTTCTTGTTTTAACAGCTTTGTCCTCAGTGGTCTTGCTTGTCTGAGAGAGGAGATGTACAAGTTAGGTCTTTCCTGTACCATACGAGGACTAGCCCAGGATTACTTCAACTATATACGACTGATGGCCTCACTGAACATAACCATATTTCCCTTTGATGTTACAAAGTGTGCAGGTAATTGTTGTGAACACAACTCTTGTAGAGGTGCTAAATTCCCATTTAAATTGGAGAAACTGTTATCTGCTGTAAAAACTAATTATTGAATGGTTACTTTTAACACGATAAGTGTGTGGGTAATTTGTTCATTGGGCAAGATGGTCTTGTGTTATTGCTGATTGTTCACCATGAGAGTCTTCTGTCTTCTATGTTTTGTGTTGGATGTTTGCAGCGATAGTGGCAAAAGAAGGTGATGGGAAAATTGAAGATCTCTGCTCCAATGAAGAACTCATCCCCCTCTTTGTCTCCACCAGTTACTGTGCTTTCCTGGCGTACTCCAATGATTGCGGGTATTTTATATTTCTTTACTTTTTTGAGAACTGTAGCTTAATGTTTTCTGATGAACAAGCAGATATGAAACTTGTTTGATAAAGTCATGGAACTTGAGATAAAACATCACAGGTCATGATGATGTTCTGTTTAAATGTTATGGCTCACTCTGCCCATGGAGAATAAGATTCCTGTGTCATTTTATTGTAAACTATAGCAGTGAACTACTGGGGCGGTGGGGTAGCCTAGTGGTTAAAGCGTTGGCTTGTCACACTGTAGACCCGGGTTCGAATCCCCACATGGGTACGATGTGTGAAGCCCATTTCTGGTGTCCCCCGCCGTGATGTTGCTGGAATATTGCTAAAAGCGGCGTAAAACCAAGCGCGCAGTCAGTCAGTGAACTACTGACTCATTTTCCACTCAACTATGATTCAGTTGAAGAAAATACCCATTTATACAATTTGTAAGAATTCTGATACTATATATGATGAGAAGAAGTTACAGCTGAAACTATTTTCTGCTTGGAGTAATATATTCCATTATGATGATATTTTAGTTGCAGCTTTTTTCCATTTATGTTACAGATAATAACAGCTGTAAGCACAATAACTGTAGCTGTGATAAGGACCCCCTGATCATTGGTGTGCCCGACATCACTCATACCTACGCCATCCATGCTTATGTTGTATTTTACCTTCATGGGATAAATCTTCACGTCCCGTTTGTGTTTCAGTGTCCTAAAAGGGGTCACAGAATGTGTTCAGAGCAGCATGAATTGTAGCGATGGAAGCCCCATCACCAACGCCCTCATTTCCAGAAGCGATGTTCTTGTTAAACGGCTTGGAAAGGACTACAGCAAATGCCCAAAAGAAGATAAAGGTAAGTGTATTGAGTGTTTGCAAATTGTTCACATCTTCGACTAAAGTTTATGTTGATATTAGTATCTGATTTGTTTACTTGCAAAGAGATTGAATAATTGAATTTAGTTTGAAGCCGCTTTTACAGAAAGCAGAAATGGGCATGGCACATTGTACCCATGTTGGGAATCGAGCCCAGATCTTCGGCGTGATGAGAGAATGCTTTTACCATAAGGCTATCCTACCACCCCCTTTTGATTGTGACCGCCTCCGTTGTGTAGTGGTTAGAGCGTCCGCCCGGAGAGCGGAAGGTCGCGGGTTCGATCCCCGGCCGCATCATACCAAAAGACGTTAAAATATGGTACTTGTTGGTCCCTGCCTGGCGCTGGGCATTAATGGGTACAACAAGGACTGGTCGGCTTCGGAGTCAGTATAATGTGTCTGAGTGGGGTATTCATGCTTCACTGCGGCATGGTATCTCAGTGGGCTAGCACTATAAAACCAGCTTCAGTCTGGGTAAGTACAAGCAGCCACACATACACATACACACACATGCACGTCGTCATATGAGCGAAATATTCTCAAATACGACGTTAAACCCAATTTCACCTCACCTCAGCCTTTTGATTGTGAAGACTACCATTATTTAGTATCATGATATCACTATCTGTAGGGCTTCTAGCTGTTCATGCTGGTGACACATTGGCGATTGAAAAGGTAGTCAATTGATCAAAATGAATGAGAAGTATTGGAATGGGTGTCACAGAATTGGGCAGACCTGTCTTCGGATTAGTCTTGATATTATTGCTTCAAATGTACAATTCCCCCATATGTTGCATAAATCTTATTCCTTAAAATGGGTGTGTTCAATCTGTTTCAGAAGAAGGCTCGTGTTCCACGATGCTTTCCAAGCCAGAGGGTCTTGCAGCCTCAACTAAGTGTTTCACCTACATGTTTGTACAGAACACCAGCCTGCTGACTCTGGAGGAAAACTGCAAGTGAGTGGACCCCTGTTCTGGCATTCACTTCATTGAGGACATGATGCCATTGTTTGATGGCTTCAGTTTTACATGTGTTCAAAAGTGTTCTCACAGTTTATTATGAAATGTTGCGGTCATATTATCCTGAAAATGTTCGTCGACTTTCTGAACAAATTCCTCTGCTGTTATTGATAGTCCTAATTGTCTGTTCCTCATGTGACTTTAGTGCAGTAATAATAATAATAATAGGTTGGTGTTATCCCTTCAAATCAAAATAAATTGATTAACAATATGTCGAGAAGTTGATTGAATGTATTTGTCTGTAGATTTTGTCATGGACTGTGTGAAATGACTTGTCTTCTTGTTTTAACAGCTTTGTCGTCAGTGGTTTTGCTTGTCTGAGAGAGGAGATGTACAAGTTAGGTCTCTCCTGTACCATACGAGGACTAGCCCAGGATTACTTCAACTATATACGACTGATGGCCTCACTGAACATAACCATATTTCCCTTTGATATTACACAGTGTGAAGGTAATTATTATGTACCTGACTGTTATAGAGTTGTTAAATTCCTATGAAAATGTGTGGTGGCGTGTGGTCCTGTGCACAAAGCGCAGGTCACGAATCAGTTGAAGTTATGAATTGTCGAGCTCGGACAGTCCTTGGATGGGTGACCGTGTTTGACAGCTTGACTCCTGAGAGTTTCTACGACTTCCGTCCTGCCCCACAATAAAGCACATGTGGTCTCACCTTAGGCAAGTGAGTTTGTTCAAAATTGCCTCTGTTCACCCAGCAGAAAATGGGTACCTGGTTGGATAAAGTCATGTGACTATAACCTTCTAGCGCCTAACAGGCAGCTTGGGTTATCCGGGGTAATAATAATCAGGGTGTTAGCGCTTGGAGCATGCTTTGTTGCGTGGAGATTAGCGCATTATAAGACTTATCATTATTATTATTAAAATATTATATGCTATTAAAGCTAATTATTGAATGGTTCCTTTTAAACACATGATAAGTATGTAGGCAATTTGTTCATTGGGCAAGATGGTCTTGTGTCATTGGACAAGATGGTCTTGTGTCATTGGACAAGATGGTCTTGTGTCATTGGACAAGATGGTCTTGTGTCATTGGACAAGATGGTCTTGTGTTATTGCTGATTGTTCACCATGAGAGTCTTCTATGTTTTGTGTTGGATGTTTGCAGCTATAGTGGCAAAAGAAGGTGATGGGAAAATTGAAGATCTCTGCTCCAATGAAGAACTCATCCCCCTCTTTGTCTCCACCAGTTACTGTGCTTTCCTGGCGTACTCCAATGATTGCGGGTATTTTATATTTCTTTACTTTTTTGAGAACTGTAGCTTAATGTTTTCTGATGAACAAGCAGATATGAAACTTGTTTGATAAAGTCATGGAACTTGAGATAAAACATCACAGGTCATGATGATGTTCTGTTTAAATGTTATGGCTCACTCTGCCCATGGAGAATAAGATTCCTGTGTCATTTTATTGTAAACTATAGCAGTGAACTACTGGGGCGGTGGGGTAGCCTAGTGGTTAAAGCGTTGGCTTGTCACACTGTAGACCCGGGTTCGAATCCCCACATGGGTACGATGTGTGAAGCCCATTTCTGGTGTTCCCCGCCGTGATGTTGCTGGAATATTGCTAAAAGCGGCGTAAAACCAAAACGCAGTCAGTCAGTGAACTACTGACTCATTTTCCACTCAACTATGATTCAGTTGAAGAAAATACCCATTTATACAATTTGTAAGAATTCTGATACTATATATGATGAGAAGAAGTTACAGCTGAAACTATTTTCTGCTTGGAGTAATATATTCCATTATGATGATATTTTAGTTGCAGCTTTTTTCCATTTATGTTACAGATAATAACAGCTGTAAGCACAATAACTGTAGCTGTGATAAGGACCCCCTGATCATTGGTGTGCCCGACATCACTCATACCTACGCCATCCATGCTTATGTTGTATTTTACCTTCATGGGATAAATCTTCACGTCCCGTTTGTGTTTCAGTGTCCTAAAAGGGGTCACAGAATGTGTTCAGAGCAGCATGAATTGTAGCGATGGAAGCCCCATCACCAACGCCCTCATTTCCAGAAGCGATGTTCTTGTTAAACGGCTTGGAAAGGACTACAGCAAATGTCCAAAAGAAGATGAGGGTAAGTGAATTGAGTGTTTGTTCACATCTTGGATGAAGTTTATGTTGATATTAGTATCTGATTTGTTTACTTGCAAAGAGAGTGAGTAAGTGAGTTTAGTTTAAAGCCGCTTTTAGCAATATTCCAGCACTATCATTGTGGGAGACATCAGAAATGGGCATGACACATTGTACCCTTGTGGGGAATCAAACCCGGTTCTTTGGCATGATGAGCGAATGCTTTAACCACTAGGCTATCCTACCACCCCCTTTTAATTGCAAAGACTATCATTACATATCATGATGTGACTGTCCTTAGGGCGTCCAGCTGTTCATGCTGGTGACACATTGGTGATTGAAAAGGTAGTCAACTGATCAAAATGAATGGCAATTATTGGAATGGGTGACACAGCATTAGGAATGCTAACACTTGATTGCCTTTTTCCCTTTAAAACATCTATTGAGTCGTGCTGTCCTTCATCCTAGCATTCTTCCGAAGGAGTTAGGGACCGTTCATAATTTATGGCTAGGCGGTTTGATGATGATTTTAAGGGGGTGTCACCTATTTTGTGTGTGGGGGGGTGTCCATCCCTTATGTACACATGTCGTAGGAGCGGTCAGCAATTGTGTGCATAGTAATATTTAAAAAATTGATTTTGTACATGACATGCAGGGCGGTGTCACTTACTTTGTGCATAAATTGGGGGTCATTAAGCATTGTACATTCTTCTCCATGAAAATCATCATATCACACACTCACTGCGCCTTGTGCGCGCACACACACACACACACACACACACACACACACACACACACACACACACACACACACACACACACACACACACACACTATAGCCATAAATTATGAATGGTCTCTTATCTCCTTCAGCAAAAATGTATTCAATCATCCTGTGAACTAGAAACAAGTTTCAGTGAAAAGGGAAATCGAGTGTTATGGGTAGTATTCTAAGAGTTATTATCTTTGTTGGTAATACTTCAAGTTTGTTGGAAAAAGCCAAACACAGAATATTTCCTGCTGTAAATTACCGAGTGTTAACTAGATAATCCAGTGATCAACGTCATGAGCATCAAGCTATGTAATTGGATTATGATGGCGTGTCAACCAAATCAGTGAGTCTCACCACCTGATCCCATTAGGCACCTTTTACCACAAGCATGGGTTGCCAAAGACTAATTCTAACCTCACCTGTCTTCAGAATTGTCTTGTTTTAAAGACTAGGGCTTCATTACAATGTCAATGAGATTTCTTTACATTTAGATCTATTTCACTTAACTTTCTCAGTCACAGATTTTACATCATAATTGACTGGTCATGGTTATGGGTCTTTTGTCTGAGCTGCCATTACTTGCAGTGCGACCCGTTAAGATCAGGGGTAGAATATGTCTTCAGCAACACATGCTTGCCACAAAAGGCGACTATGCTTGTCGTAAGAGGCGACTAATGGGATCGGGTGGTTAGGCTCGGTGACTTGGTTGCCACATGTCATCGGTTCCCAATTGCGAAGATCGATGCTCATGCTGTTGATCACGGGATTGTCTGGTCCAGATTCGATTATTTACAGACCGCTGCCATATAGCTTGAATATTGCTGAAAATTCTCTGATCATCCCCAATTTGCAGTTACTATGATTCTTGTGTTATGAGCACCTGTACTTGTAGGTTTCACCAAGGTAGTCAACTTCTGACTCCTTCGATTTTGGGGTTGTGGGGTAGCCTAGTGGTTAAAGCGTTTGCTCCTCACACTGAAGATCTGGGTTCGATTCCCAACATGGGTAAAATGTGTCATATTGCTAAAAGTGAGATAAAACCTGACTCACTCACTCTAAATCCTTCAATTTTGGTTTTCTTCCCTCATTGTTTTATCACACTTTGATATGTTTGAAACCATGGTATTTAACCCAACCTCACTCTGACGCCCCCATTTTTTTTAAGGGTGGTGAGATAGCCCAGTGTTTAAAGCGTTTGTTGTCAGACGAAAACCTGGGTTCAATTACCGACATGGGTAGAGTGTCTGAATGTCCCTTGATGTGATTTTGCTTGATTATTGCTGAAAGCTGAGACTATACTGGATTCAAACAACATTCACTTACTGTTTCACTGTTATATTTCAGGTGGCAAGAAATGCCCAGAGCAAAGCGATGTGGACTACAGCATAGCAATGGATGTTGTTGCAGAATGTGGAGCTATTCTTGGAAAGTTTAATGCTTCTATCATCCCAGAAGAGCATGCATGCAGGTTTGTAGACTGACAAGGGTGCCTAGTCTGTCATACAGACCCTGAACAAATATACTACGTACAGCTCAGGCAGGTCAAGAACATGTTTCAAGTCTAGATAGCCAAGGTTTCTGACAATGAAGACAGACAAGGGGCTATTTATATTATCTTTTATGAACATAATTAAAAAATATTTTCATTAGTATTGACGTCCATGATAATGAAAGAACTTGCCTTTTTTCTATTGTCTTTAATGTTCTTCACTAATTGTTATTCTGAGTTGGGAATACAGGTCTCAAAATGAGTGACTTCAGTTTTACGCTGCACTCAGTGATACTTCAGCTAATGGCTGCAGTCTGTAAATAATCGAATCTGGACCAGACAATCCAGTGATCAACAGCATGAGCATCAATCTACATAATTGGGTTATGATGACATGTGTCAACCAAGTCAGCGAGCCTGACCAACCAATCCAGTTTGTTGCCTTTTACGACAAGCATGGGTTACTGAAGATCAATTCTAACCTGGATCTTCACGGGTCCAGGGTCTTAAAGAGTGCCCAGATGTACCTCTGTAGACTTGATGAGTGAGTAGCACAACTTTGACAAACTGTGTCCATTCTGTACAGGATATTTTGGGGCGTGGTCAACTGTACTCTAGAGGAACTGTCCAAGAAGGGCTATGACAAGTGTGAGAAGGAGATTGTTGAGTATGTAGGCAACTACCTGGACACCAAGAACAAGACACTGAAGGATGTGGTTCCCTACAACTACAAGAACTGTCACTGTACGTAATCTCTAACATTAGTCAGTACACAAAGAATATCCAATGAACTCTTTCGTGTTCATGGAAGCTGATTCTCCAACCATTCCATCAAAATGTTGAAGACAATCCATTCCTCTGTCTGCTATTGTTAATCTTCAAGGTATATGGCATGTGTGCAATAACAGTACTAACATAGAGATAATTCAGGGTTATTTCTTTGGAAAAAAATGCCTCTCGGTATCTTAACATTGGTGCAAAATTTTGATTGTGTTAGTTCTTTGCAAAAACTATTTTGTCTGTTTAAAAGTAATAAAATATATTGTGAAATTTAAGCTTTTATTGAAACACACTCAACATTTCATGTGATTAATGGACATGTCGATATAATGCAGGTGTATAAGCTGTTCATATTTGTACAATAGAAATCAGAAGAGTAAAACATTTCTCTAAGTCAATAAGTTTCACCTGAATTTTTGAGTCGCCTCACTACTGGATATGTTAAAAGTTATCTTAGGATGTTGCGTACACTTTAAAGGGGCCATAAGAGGCTTCCATATATACGAGACATGCTGGTAACCTCGACTCATTGACACACTGAGCTGATGATGATGCATGAGTGTATTTTTACGCTGCTTTTAGGGATATTTTAGCAATATTCTGTATAATGACTGCCCACATCATTTGGTTACCTTCCCACAATACACTAACACTCTGTCATGTAACAGACATACTTCAACATTACAACTCACTTCAATCACTCCTACATCAACAGCAAACCCAGCAGAAAATGGGTACCTGGTGGGATAAGTCATATGACCATTAACATTCTAGCTTCTCACAGGGATTCTTGGCTTGTCTGGGGTAATAAAGTCTATTATGTTATATGTGGTATGAATTTTGGCGTTATGTAAGTGGCCTTATTATTATTTGTCGCGCTACTCACACTCTGTATTTGTGGTTTCAGTCAACAAACCAACTGGTGATGTGTGTTCCAACAGTGGCACTTTGTCTTACTTCGCTGCCTCCTCTCTGGAATGTGCCCCCAACACAGCGGTCCTCATCAGAAAGAACAACTACACTTGTGGGTGAGTACCTTCTGTGACCCGTGAAGATCCGGGTCAGAATTAATAATCAGTAACCCATACTTGTCGTAAGTGGCGACAAACGGGATCGGTTGATGGCTGATTTGGTTGACACATGTCATCGTATCCCATTTGCGTAGATTGATGGTCATGCTGTTGATGACTGGATTGTCTGGTCGAGACTCGATTATTTACAGACCGCCACCATATAGCTGGAATATTGCTGAGTGCGATGTAAAACTAAACTCACTCACTCAGTACCTTCTTTATTTCCTGTATTCTATTTTGTTTTTTGTTTAACGCCACGCTCTGCAATATCCCAGCTCTTTGGCAGCGGTCTGTAAATAATCATCACTGGACCAATCCAGTGATCAGCAACATGAGCATCTATCTATGCAGTTGGGATATGGTGACATGTGAGCCTGTATACAGAAGCCTAATATAGAAAGCTGATCATCCCCATGGCCAGGTCTTCACAAGGGAAGGTTAAAGTTTTCTGAACTTTCCCCTTATGTACAGTTTAGGTGAAATCCACAGTTTGAAGTATCTGGTCTAGGTTTGGGGGTGAAGACAGACCATGCTGACTTTGACCTCGTAAAATTTACATCAGGGCGTGGCTACTAATCACTTCTACCATCAGTAACCATGGTAACTTGGTATGATGCTTCCCTGTGGTACAGGGTTTAAAGTCCATTCTTGGATTTTAGAGTCCCTGTGATGTGGCTGAATTATTACTTACAGACTAAGCTTGGAACAAAATGTATTCATTTACTTAAATATGTTTTTCTGTCCTTCTGCAGGTCATTGACATTCTTGGTGGAGTGTGTGAAAGAGGTGCTTGGAAAGTCTGAGATGAAGTGTCGTGCATCAACACTCCACAACAACTTCTACTACAACTCCTACATCCTGCAGAAATACAATAAAACACTCAACTTTGATAACTGTGAAAGCTATGCAGGTATGTCATTGTAAGCCAAGCAAACATTTAGATCATAGGAAGATTCTGGGGATGTCACTAACGTTCAACTGTTGGTCATTCAGGAAAACTTATAGTCATTTTAGAATTTTAGTGATGCCAGACACTCAGTCATTCAGCTCTTGGGTGAAATCTTGGGACACTCATGGATGATTGGGGATACTCAGTCATTCAGCTCTTGGTTGATCAGGGACACTCAGTCATTCAGCTCATGGATGATTAGGGACACTCAGTCATGCAGCCCTTGGATTTTGTGTCACCCAGCACTGATTGCAACAATTGTGTGTCACCCAGCACTGATGGCAGCAATTGTGTGTCACCCAGCACTGATGGCAACAATTGTGTGTCACCCAGCACTGATGGCAACAATTGTGTGTCACCCAGCACTGATGGCAACAATTGTGTGTCACCCAGCACTGATGGCAACAATTGTGTGTCACCCAGCTCTGACTGAGTATTATCTGAAGTGATATGACTGGAATGTATCTCCATGGAACCATTACTTCTACTAGTCATAGCCATACTCTTTGTCATGGAGCTAGAGGCCATGCTCATCATTTATGTGTAGTAGCTGTGCTTGTGGTTTCACTTCAAACTTTTCTTCCCAATCATGCTGACAATGATGATGAATGTTACTGTAATACAGTCGAGCCCCGTTTACACGGACTACATATTTCCGGAAATGCCGCCTTCCTTCCGCACAAGTTTCTAGTGGAACAAAACTTTTCTTCTTTAATTGTACTCACATACTCGGACTCCGCGCTTCCGGACCCGTACAATGATTTTTCAATCCATTCCCTATTACTTCCTTTGAGAGTTGACCCGATTACCCAGACAACTGATTATTATGTTCACTGCTATTTCTCAGCAGTCGTTTGATGTGTGTCTTTGTTCATTACTTGTCAGCACATAACCCACTCGGTACGATTTGGCATTGAGGAAATGCAATTAAGAGTCTTGTTAGTAATGAATACATCTGACAGATATAATATGCGTTATCATGATTCCGTGGTCAGGACTTCAGCATGGCTAGCAACCTGCAAAACACAAACGTCTCTGTGTGACTGCAGCCAAGAAGCATGAGATTACATGTTTATGTGTACCAATCCCATTACAGAATATGTTGTTGTTTATCACCTGTTTTTTATGACCCGTGAAGATCCGGGGTAGAATAGGTCTTCAGCAACCCATGCTTGCCACAATAGGCAACTATGATTGTCGTAAGAGGCGACTAACGGGATCGGGTGGTCAGGCTCGCTGACTTGGTTGCCACATGTCATCGGTTCCAAATTGCGCAGATCGATGCTCATGCTGTTGATTACTGGATTGTCTGGTCCAGACTCGATTATTTACAGACCGCCGCCATATAGCTGGAAGATTGGTGAGTGCGGCGTAAAACTAAACTCACTCACTCACCTGTTTTTTTATTATGTGTGTGCTAAATGTGTAAATCTGAAAGAATAAATTTTCATTGTGCAACACCAGAACGTGTTTCTTGGTAAATTCAGATAGCTGGACAACTCGCTCTTTGGACGATTTTCAGACGTAACCAAAACGTCCGTGTAAACGGCGCTTGACTGTTCATTAAACTGAAAACACTCTGTAGCTGTGTTTGCCACTGTTTGCTTTACAGGGAATATAACCTCCCCTGACTACTACCGACCCTGCCCGGGACTACACATCTCTTCGATACAGTGCTGAAATATACTGCCTGCCACTGGTGCTGAAACTGAACAACACCAGGGGAAACAACTCTGAAAGATGCAGGTAAGATTTGGACTTTGTATTCTGAAAAGGGAAGATCAGATCTCCCTTCAGTTCTTATAGTTTACATAAGCCAATAGCTTGTATATATTTTGAATGTTTTGATAATTCATTTCACTATGTGGTGTTGTAGTAGTGCAGATGTTAAAGTAAATGTTCTGGTGTAAGAGTTACCTGGGTAGATGTTTAGGCTCACTGCATGTAATCATACCGAGAAAATGTGTTGATCTGGTCCAGTGGGGCAGATGGGTAGCCCTGTGGTTAAAGTGCTCGCCGCAGACCTGGGTTTGATTCCCCATATGGGTACAATGTGTGAAGCCCATTTCTGGTGTCCCCTGCCATGATATTGCTGGAATTTTGCTAAAAGTGACATAAAACTAAACTTACTCTCTGACCTATGTGCCTTTGTACAAAGCAACCCCAAGCGCTTTGCCAGTCATAAGACTATGTGAAGGTATTGGAGTTACGATCACCTTGCTTGTACAACAGCACCCTAGTCCAGAACAGGCTGCAATGATATGGTTGCAATGTAGAGTTAACGACACTCATTTCCTTCTGTTTTATTTAACTTGACAATGTGGTGCATATTCATCCCTCTATGTTTCAGTGCGTACTTTGACCTTGTGCAGTGCCTCACCTATGCCCTGCACTCATACCGCTGCAATGCCACAGAGATACACGACATTGCGATCCAGAATTCCAAGATTATGAGGGATGAACTGTCAGAATTCAATCCTTCCACTTGTGGTGAGTTCATGTTTGATGGATAACAGTCGGCCTTGGTTGAACATGCTGCAGTTTGAATGAGCCTCCCGCAACTTGACTCTCAATCACGTTGTCAGGTTCAGTTTCTTGATTCACAGCACATCATTCACTAAAAGGGACATGGACATTAACATACAATACCTGCTTGAAAAGTGGTCCCACGTGACAATTCTTATATTTGGGATTTCACTTTATCATCCAAAACTGTGTTCCACAGGAGATATTGCTGTGTAATATCTTGATGACGTCACAATGCTATGACATTGCTGCACTGCAAGTTTAATGGTAGTACAGTGTTCAGTACAACTCATGTTCATATAATTGATATCAGTGGAAACTTGGGTGAGATTCTCTATTTGTCAATTAAGTACAGATTCTAGTACTTTTGTTGGGTTGTCCTCACACCATTGACAACTCGTTTGTCAAGACCAGGCTAAATCATATAATTCCCATTTAGGCAGATTCCTCCAGTATTTTGTATTACTCACCCGTAGATGATACTGCAGTGTAATATTTTTACGGCAATATTACACCAGTGTAGTATCACTAGACGTATGATGTTTGTTACAAGGGCGCATTGGCAACTAAAGGAACAGCGCGAAAAGCGAGATGCACGTGCATTAGTGACGTCAGAGACATGTGATTACTGCTGATTGACAAAGTGAGAGAAAATGAAAGTCTATAATTTACAAAGTCTATGATTTCTTCAAGGATGAATATTAGAGGGTTTGACCCAAGTATGCAATTACTATGTACATTCAGCGCACTGCCTGTGCAGCTGGGGTACGTGTCATGTCGCCAGCTCAAAAGTTTGTTGAGAACCTGTTAACGCACGTGCATCTCGCTTTTCGCGCTGTTCCTTTAGTTGCCAATGCGCCCTTGTAACAAACTGGGAAAACGCACAAATAAATGATGACAGTTTCTTAAACAACTTTATTATTTTTGTGGCACAAAGTATGCAATTTGTTGTTTTTATTGCAGTCCGTGTTGGTTTGATTCTGTTATGTTGATTTGTTTTTGTGTTAGATTGCAATTAGTCGGTATCATTTTGTCTCAAACGGACTGTACACGGAAGGTCTTTTAGCATCCTCAATATATTTGATTCATTTGCAGTTGCACCTACCTTTACCACAAAGTCGCCATGTTTGGAGGACACGTACTATGGGTTTGTGCTCCGCACGATGTGTCAGGCCGACAAACTGAAGCAGTCTGAGGACAATTGCAGGTAAGTTTTTAAGACATTACCCACAACTGAAAGGTGTGTCCAGTGGAGCATACCTGTGCCTGCTGTCACAAACAGTAGCTTCACATTTGGAAGATTGAGTAAACTGATGTGACTGATTGTTTTACTGACTTTCTTGGTTGCTTGACTAACTTCCTTTCACAAAGTGCTAAGCTGACCTTAATGCAATGTTAAATAATTGGTTAAGGTTAAACTTAATAAAGGTTGCATCGTGAGAGGAGCCTGTAAATGTTTGACTCTTCTGTCCTGGTTGTTTGACTGGCTGTCTTGGTTGTTTGACTGGCTGTCTTGGTTGTTTGACTGGCTGTCTTGGTTGTTTGACTGGCTGTCCTGGTTGTTTGACTGGCTGTCCTGGTTGTTTGACTGGCTGTCTTGGTTGTTTGACTGGCTGTCCTGGTTGTTTGACTGGCTGTCCTGGTTGTTTGACTTGCTGTCCTGGTTGTTTGACTGGCTGTCTTGGTTGTTTGACTGGCTGTCTTGGTTGTTTGACTGGCTGTCCTGGTTGTTTGACTGGCTGTCCTGGTTTTTTGACTGGCTGTCCTGGTTGTTTGACTGGCTGCCTGTTTGTTTTGCTGGCTGTCCTGGATGTTGACTATCTGGTGTGGTTAAAAAAATGAAACATACAACTTTATGGATGACTTTCTTGGTTGCTTGACTAACTTCCTTTGGCTAAGCTGTAATGCAATGACTGGCTGTCTTGGTGTCCTGGGTTGTTTGACTGGCTGTCCTGGTTGTTTGACTGGCTGTCTGGTTGTTTTGACTGACTTGCTGTCCTGGTTGTGTTTGACTGGCTGTCCTGGTTGTTTGACTGGCTGTCCTGGTTGTTTGACTGGCTGTCCTGGTTGTTTGACTGGCTGTCTTGGTTGTTTGACTGGCTGTCCTGGTTGTTTGACTGGCTGTCCTGGTTGTTTGACTGGCTGTCCTGGTTGTTTGACTGGCTGCTTGGTTGTTTGACTGTTTGACTGGCTGGCTCCTGGTTGTTTGACTGGCTGTCCTGGTTGTTTGACTGGCTGGCTTGGTTGTTTGACTGGCTGTCTTGGTTGTTTGACTGGCTGTCCTGGTTGTTTGACTGGCTGTCTTGGTTGTTTGACTGGCTGTGGTTGTTTGACTGGCTGTCCTGGTTGTTTGACTGGCTGTCCTGGTTGTTTGACTGGCTGTCTTGGTTGTTTGACTGGCTGTCTTGGTTGTTTGACTGGCTGTCCTGGTTGTTTGACTGGCTGTCCTGGTTTTTTGACTGGCTGTCCTGGTTGTTTGACTGGCTGTCCTGTTTGTTTTGCTGGCTGTCCTGGATGTTGACTATCTGGTGTGGTTAAAAAAATGAAACATACAACTTTATGGATGACAACTTCTTATTTATTGCATAGAGCAACGTTTTGATGTAGATTCTTACATCGTTATCAAGCTGCTTTTTGGAGGGTAGGTCGCGGCCATTGGCTTGGAGGATGGTCCTGAGGGTTGCAGAGCCAGTGAAGATGCATCCCTCAGGACTATCCTCCAAGCCACTGGCTTGGCCAATGACTATATGTTGTTGTTGTTTGACTGACTGTCCTCGTTGTTTCGCTGGCTGTCCTGGTTGTTGTTGTTTGACTGTCTGACCCTCGTTGTTTTGCCCTGGTTGTCCTGGATGTTGACTATCTATTGTGGTTGTTTGACTGTCTGCCCTGGTTGTTTCGCTGGCTGTCCTGGATGTTGACTATCTGTTGTGGTTGTTTGACTGTCTGCCCTGGTTGTTTCGCTGGCTGTCCTGGATGTTGACTATCTGTTGTGGTTGTTTGACTGTCTGCCCTGGTTGTTTCGCTGGCTGTCCTGGATGTTGACTATCTGTTGTGGTTGTTTGACTGTCTGCCCTGGTTGTTTCGCTGGCTGTCCTGGATGTTGACTATCTGTTGTGGTTGTTTGACTGTCTGCCCAGGCCCACATGACACATTGCAGACCACCGAATTTGTATACAGCACCATAAAAAATGTTGAACAAAACTGATGCATTTCTGTGAACTGACAGCGGGACATTACGAAAAACATCATGAATCCTGACTTATGACTCATGTCTACGTTGCAGCATTCCGTATCAGATGACCATGTGTGCAATGAACGTCTCTGGAAGCCTAAACACAGCATGTACCATGTCAAACTTTTCTGCCTACCTCCAGAGAAACAAGGACGGCTTCCCTCCCCAGTTCAGACCCTGTCTAGGTGAGCATAGAAATGGATAGTTGGACTTGAACAACATCCTGTACATCTAATTGCCTTATACTTACATTTCAGCAAATGCTTGTCCGAGGTAATCTGGTTTGGGTTTGGTTGTTGTTTAACGCCTCACTCAGTATAGTTCCAGCTATATGGCGGTGGTCCGTAATTAATCGAATCTGGACCAGGCATTCCAGTGATCAACAGCCTGAGCATCGATCTACACAATTGGGATACAATGGCATCTGTCAACCAAGTCAGCTAGCCTGACCATCCAATCCCGTTAGTAGGGGTGACTATTGAGGTGGAAACAACTATTGTGATAGCGATAGTCTATTGCAACATACTATGGCGATAGCAATAGTCTACTGCGACCAACTATTGCAATACTATGACAATAGTTCTTTTCTCCTTGAATTGTCTCATTTGAAGTCATTTCCCAAATGAATGTATACTTTATATGAAATAAAAACAAGTTGAAGTAGTTTCAGATTCTTTTAATAACTGATGAGAAACTTGAAACCTACATCAAGGAAACAGTTAAAACATATACTTATTGTTATTCACAATTTCAAACTCCGAGTCGCATGCCGTGTCTGCCCCCATGTTTGTTTAAGCAGTCACAGGGGCGGTTAACTCTAAATCAAAGTGAACAAATCTGGTACTTACTGTATTTTGCTCTGCGCATTTATCAACAGAAGTCTGTTACTAAACTATCGATAGTCACACATACTATCGATGCATCAGTAGTTTTTCATTCCTACCATCGATTAATTGCTATCAGAGCCTCAACAATTGCAATCCATCGATAGTTCAATGCATCGTTATAGCACTACAAATTAGTCACCTCATGGGACAAGCATGGGTTACTGAAGACCAATTCTACTCAGATTCTTCATGGGTTCGAAGCTAAACTGACAATATAAGCCACATGAACTAGAAAGCAACCAGTGACAACTTAGGTTGAAGTCCCTTTTTGGATCACAGGAAATATGAAGGGTGCGGATAGCACTAACTCAGTAGCATGCAATTATCAGATGCTCAGAAGGCTGACCTCAAGCCACAATTATTTCATGAACTTGTTGTAGACTTTTAACTTGATGTAATTACATTTGGCTAAAATAACACTGATTGACTGATGCTTGAAACTTAAAGAGAAAACCTTAGTTTGAACAAGTTCTTGACCAAAGGTAATTTGTGTACCCTACGTCTTTTGGTTTTTGTCTACATCTACTGGAAAAGCAAACCTGAAGAAGTGTATGGTCTCAGCTTATCGGTCACAAATAAAACAGCAAATTCATTTTTTCCCATTTAAACAAGTTGTCAAAGCTAGCAAAATATAATTGCTGGCCAATACCTTAAAGTTTTGTTGATTTCTTAAAGTATGCAGATCCTGTGGGTTGACAAGGGGTTGAAAAACATGTCTGTTGATGTACTTGCAGATAACATACAGTCTATGATTGCCAACGAATGTCTGCCGCTCGTCACTCCTGCTGCTGTAAATGTGTCGACTTGTCTTGCATTTGCTGCATATGGGATCTTTGGCACTAGTACTTGCGAGTGAGCAGAGTTTACTGATTTTATTATGTTTGCTTTGGTAATGTAAATCTCACTTTTTTACTGATTTTGATATGCATTAAATTGTTATGTATTTACTTTGGTAATGTAAATCTCAAATATTTCAACACTCACACATTTTTAGCAATTTTGATATGATATAGAAACTTGTTTTGTTTTTAAATACAGGTTTTATTTCATATTGATTTGGCCAAACTTTTGCATTTGCCTGTACAAGATCCACGTAAATTTGGGAGCTACATGCCATCTAACTAGCTTTACTATTCAGGCATGTATAATATACTACATGGAAGCTATGTTTTAGCCATATTTCCTTGGAACTCCTTTGCCTGATGAAGCCTATTCATGGTCTCCCCTGCCTTGATATTGCTGGAATATTGCTTAATGCAGCATAAAACTTAACAGAATCACCCTATATTTCACAACCAGGCTAGCTATTCTCCAAATGTTTGTAGCCCTACAAACTTCTTAAGCCCATTCTTAAAACATTGGCTACGATCAAAGTTGAGAATTCTTAAGGCTACAATCGTTTCAAGAATAAGGGCCCAGATGATTTCCTGTTTAGATGTTCACCGAATATTAATGACATGTATTTTTTTTTCTGTTCATTGTAAAAAAACACAAATTACCAACTGCTTTTGTAATGTGATGTATGATATTTTGATTACATTTTTCTGTGATAATTCTTCCAACAGTGACAGCAACATGCTGCTGTATGCCACGAGTTTGAGGTGCATCAAGAGGCAGCTTCAGAACAACTGCACAATCCTGGACATCAACAGATCGATGAAGAGCTACTTTAACTTGATCTCAGTGGGTGCCCCCCAACACCTTGGCGGCTCAAACACTACCTGTGATAACCTGTGCTGGTAAGTTGTCAGATTTACAGGGCAGTGGGGTAGCCTAGTGGTTAAAGGGTTCGCTCATCACACCTAAGATCTCGGTTTGATTCCCCACATGGGTACAATATATGAAGCCCATTTTTGGTGTCCTCTGTTGTGAATTGAATATTGCTAAAAGCTGCGCGTAAAACTAAACTCACTCACTCACTCTCAGATTTACTCACATGATAGAATAATCCATGAGGAATAATGGAAATATCTGTTCCTGACTAATTTAGTAGTTGTATTTCCTGTTCTCTCCATCAGAAAATGAAGAAAATGATGGAGACATCGATTCTGTCCATATATCATTTGATGTCTCATATAAATGACTGATGTCATGAATGATGTATGACATCTTTTAGTAGTTGCATTGTGCATTTTTATGACATCAAGTGTGGGTTCTAAATCCGGATGGGCCTCAACGCCCCAATATTACTAGAATCTGTACTTTTCCTAAGAAGGTGTAATCCCAAATGTAACATATGTAAAATCACCATCCTGTTGACAAATCCTCTTGATGTTGGCCCAAACCCACAGGCACCCTTCATTGTAGACTAATGATGTTTGTTGTGTTGACTCCTGACACATTTGCCACAGTCAGCTTTAGGGCTGAGGGGTACAGAGTGTGAAGCCCATTTCTGGTCGTGATACTGCTGGAATATTGCTAACAGCGGCGTAAAACTAAACTCAGTCAGTCAGTTCTAGGGCTGTGTATTGGCAAGTTTAATTGTATTGCAATAAAATATGATTCTGGTAACTGGACCTATAGTTGTATTGCACTAATTTGGAGCTTCAGTGTTTGACAGTCAGTGACATTGATTGTGCATGCAGAGCTTACTTTCTAATACTAAAGCCCTAAAAATAAATATGATGGTTGTGATAACAGAAATCTAGAATTTATGTTTGATTTTGAGGGAATTTGTTTTCTATTTTTTTATCAAATTTATTATGTGTAAAGTATGTTACACTCCAGTATTCATGTTCCTTCTCTGTTTTTGTTCTGTATACAATGTACCTGTGAAGATCCAGGTTAGAATCATCAGTAGCCCATTCTTGTCATAAGAGGCTTCTAACGGAATCGGGTGGTCAGGCTTGCTGACTTGGTTGACACGTCATTGTATCCCAATTGCATAGATCAATGCTCATGTTGTTGATCACTGGATTGTCTGGTCCAGAATCGATTAGATACAGACCGCCGCCATATAGCTTGAATATTGCTGAGTGCGGCTTAAAACCACTCACTCACTCACTCTGTGTAAAAATGGTAATGTTTTACTCTGGTTAACTGTGGATGGTGGAAAGAGGAGGGCTTTACCAGTGCTACTTTATACAAGAACGTTTTGTTGTCTATGACCTTAACACATTAACTTGTTGTTTCAGACCCAATTGTGACAACAAATCTAAGTGCATTGCCTGACTTCTGTGACAATGTTGGAGCTATCATGAGGATCCTCACGACTTTTGGCGGCAACAATGTTTCTGGAATATTCAATGGAAATAGTGGAGTCTATTCAAGTTGCTAGTAAGTCAGACAATTTAGGCAATATAATTGTTCATTATTTAGACTTTTAAATCTGTTAATATGTGTAGGAAAAGACAGTTAACCTACAGTATCCGTGCAGTACCCGGCAGTAGCCGTACCATTGCCTGAAGTAGCCCATCAGTTGCCGTACCATTGCCTGAAGTAGCCCATCAGTAACCCTACCATTGCCTGAAGTAACCCATCAGTTGCCCTACCATTGCCTGAAGTAGCCCATCAGTAGCCCTACCATTGCCTGAAGTAGCCCATCAGTAGCCCTACTATTGTCTGAAGTAGCCCATCAGTTGCCCTACCATTGCCTGAAGTAGCCCATCAGTTGCCCTACCATTGCCTGAAGTAGCCCATCAGTAGCCCTACTATTGTCTGAAGTAGCCCATCAGTTGCCCTACCATTGCCTGAAGTAGCCCATCAGTAGCCATACCATTGCCTGAAGTAGCCCATCAGTAGCCATACCATTGCCTGAAGTAGCCCATCAGTTGCCCTACCATTGCCTGAAGTAGCCCATCAGTTGCCCTACCATTGCCTGAAGTAGCCCATCAGTTGCCCTACCATTGCCTGAAGTAGCCCATCAGTTGCCCTGCCATTGCCTGCAGTAGCCCTACCATTGCCTGAAGTAGCCATACCATTGCCTGAAGTAGCCTGCAGTAGCCCTACCATTGCCAACTGTAATCCTATCCCAGGTTTTATCCCCAAGTTGAGGTATTTAAATCTCAATAACAACTTTAAGGGAAGTGTCTTATAGGTATAACATTACCCTTGTTTGAATAGGCCCCAAGAAACAATTCTGGTGGTCACATTTGGTTACATGCTTCATTTTCATCGCATTCTTAAACCATGAGACATAACTGATATCAATCACTCGATTGTCTAGTTTAGCCTTCATCATCTACCTCTTGTTGGAATATTCCTGACTGTGGGTAAAAGAACAAACCAAACAATTGTTGTTACCTCCTCTCCTCAAATCGCCAAACAAGGAGC